ATTTCATTCTTTCCTTTAATCCCATGTTAAAAAAAGGGGGGGGGGGAGTGGGGGGGACAAAGCCAGTAATCAATGAGAGGCTCCCTGTTTGGGAGAGTAGAATCTTTCATCAGTGGATCTTGGACAAGAGAAGGGATGGACAAGAGGGTGGGGCTGTAAGAATGGATAGCTTAGTGTTAATGATTTTGAATTGCATTGACTTAAAAATTAGATTGAGATATATATCAATAGTCAATCAACTTTAAAAAAATCTATTTGACCTTGAACAATTTATTGCTCTAGTCATGTGTGTCTTCTCTGATATGTGCTGATTAATTTATCCTGTCAATTATTAATACCATTTCACTTTTATTATGTACAAAAAGGAGTATTCATTTTTTCTAAAATGATTTAATGTGGCAACACAGCAAATCATCTGCCATGAGATCTTGAGAGTCACGGCTTTCTTTTGAAGCTGTACAGACAACAGAAGCACAGGGTTGTGTTTCATCTAAGATTGTGAAGGTGAAAGAGTACTAGAAACTCCAAAGAGTTATACCCCTGTAAAGTGCTGTATTTAATGTGTATATCTCTACTGATCTGCCCATGGTTTCATGCCTCCTACCCTGTCCCCGTCACTCATGTCTCTATATTCTGACACTGTATACATATTTCTCAAAATACATATCACACTTTATTATAATCACTGCTTAAATGGTAAATCACTCTTTACCATTTAACCCTAAGTTGTTTGAGGGCAAAAATCATTATTAGTTTTTGCCTTCTAAGTCTTGGTATTTATCCTGCCTTTCTTATGAGAATTGACTGAATTCCTGGCTAAGCAAATAATAAATGAAGGAAAGAGTTTCTTAACAAAAGTATTCTTACATACAAATACTAAAAAAATAATAGAGTTCAAATATCACCACTTAGCAACTACTAGTAAATAAACAGGTACTGGCATTAAGCGTCAATGGCTGCTAAGATTATAAAATGAGAAAACAATCAAATATTACACACCTCTTTTTAAAAAATGTTTTTTATTGATTTTTAGAGAGAGAGGAAAGGAGAGGGATAGAATGATAGAAACATTGATGAAAGAGAAACATCATCAATTGGCTACCTCTTGCATGCCCCCTACTGGGGATGTGCTCCGACCAGGAATTGAACCTGTGACCTTTTGATTCATGGATCAACACTCAACCACTGAGTAACACCAGCCAGACATATGTAACTCTTTTTATTGTGCTGAAGAGTAGCTTTATCCATTTTCCAGAAAATTTTCAGGAAAATATTAAGAACTGAAAACATATTGCATTGCACCAAGAATATGAAATTAGCATACCTGTGGATAACTCTACAGGTAAGGGTCAGGGTACATTAACAGATAAATTGTAAGAAAATGCAAGAAATTGAAGAGGAACCTATAGATTAAAAGAGACTTAAGGACATCTAACTTTAAAAAGTTGGCAAGGTTAACATAATCTCGGGATGCATATTTGGGTGACAGACAAAGCTACTTTTAAAATGCAAGTCGTTGATTATTATAAAAGTTAGACTAGTTATTTGTGGGAAGAGGCAGAGGTTGTGATTGGGACAGGGCACACTGTGGACACTTCTTGACCTGGGTAGCGTTCTCATTGTAATAAATAATTAAGCCAAACATTTGATTTGGGTGATTTTTATATGTTTGTGTTCTATTTGTAATAAAAAGAGATTTAAAAGGAAACTGATAGCCATGTCTAATGGCAACTATATTGATACAGGCATAAATGTAAAGTCCAAATGAAACTCTTAAAAAATAAGAGTGAAATTTATAATTCTCTCTCTCTTGTTGGCTACATCTCCATGGTTACATATCTAATCCTTCATCGATCCAAATCTTCCGGTCTATGTAAAGAGGTAATTACTAGTTATATGTCTAGAAAGGTAGTTAAAGGACACTCTTATCCTTCTGATTGAATCTTAAGCTAATCTAATTATAACACCAATCTCATAAAACTCAGTTGGCAATTCTGATTTTTATAATTTGAAATAATTAAGCCTTTAAATTCTCTTCCATTAAGCTTTTTTAAAAAATCAATAGATGCCACTTTGGAATTTGTAAAGTACCTGTATTAATTCTCCAAGGTCAGTGAAATATGAATGTCAGATTCATAATTTAAATCAGATATACAAAGTGTTCTTTTAAAATTTAATTAACCTGTGTCTTTGCAAAATGGTTAAATGCCTACGGTGACCAACCTCCCGCACTGTGATGCAGGAAACCTGACATGCCCAATGTTCATGCAACACCAGGACTTTTTGTTTCTCCTGTTCACAGCCCATGCTTCTTTCATTTAAAAAATGATTAATTTTTTAGATAATAGTACTAGGGATTTTTCTAGCCGATGCATGGACACAAATGATTTTCTGTTTGTTTCCATGCATCGGCTAGAAAAATCCCTAGTACTATTATTAACGTATGTGTCTGAGTTTTCAACTCAACAACAAATAAGACCAGTTTCACAGGTCAGCCACCTTTGCATTATTTAATGAGCTATAGAATAATTTAAACTTTGTAAGAAAAATTCTTTTTCACTGACTTGTAAATGTGAATACAGGCAGTACAATGCAGAAGCACATTTACATTCAAAAGCATATTTTTAATCTTTAACATGTTGATTTGAAAGGGGCTAATGTTTTTATTTTTAATTGATTCCTTAAGTGGTTCAAACCAAATAAACAAAATGCATAAATTAAAATGATCTGGCCTGTCACAAACTTGGCAGCTGATGCCATAAACAATGTCACTAGGAGAGTTGTGACTTGCATGGGGGAAATGTGTAGAAGTATAATCAATTTTCCAAAAAAAAGAGGTGGCTTCCAAAAAAGTAAGTGAAGTGATTCAGGGGAGGAGATAAGGGGTTCTTTAACTTATTAACAGTATCACAGTTACTAACTCTGAAGTTTTCCCTGCCTCTAGGATAATGTGAAAAGGCAGTTTCCACTACTGCATCCAAACTCATCACCTATATTTATGTACAGTATTTCTTCTGCTTGACATAGGCCGGGCACAAGACTAAGACTTGGCCTTGACTCCATGTACTGTCAGAAGGTGGCAAAAGGTGGTGTTGTCCTAGAGAGGCAAGAGGACAGGCTTTGGAGTCAAGCAAATATGTGTTCATACCCTAGTTCTGCCACTTATGCTCATGTGCACTGGGCAAGTTACATAAGTGCTCTGGGTCTCAATTTCCTCATCTGTAAATGGTTATAACACCATGTGCCTCATGGCTTATTGTGATGATTAAATAAAATAATGTCTCTAGATCACAGAAGATGAGACTAAGTTCCTGGCTGTCATCATTATTAATCAGGATAGAAATTATTAGTACTAGTTTTAGCAGAATTTTAGTGAGTGAAAGACAGAGAAAACCAACCTTATACTCTATAAGGCAGGACAATTAGAGATATCCTTAATTCTTTAAGAATACAGCTTGGATGAGGACCTGAAAGTGGGAAAATCAGATGCCACTTTTTAATTTACCTATTCTTATTTTGGTGTCACTTTTTCAATAAAAATTATTGCACTTTTAATGGCAGGTGAATGGCTTCACATACAAATACGTTTTCAGCAGTAAATTCATAGGTAAATGGAAGGTTGACTGAGGATGAGATAAAAAGGAACTTTAAAAAGTCTGGAACATCAAAACTGCAGAGAGGTGAATGACACAAGTCAAGGTAAATTTATTGTTGAGGAAATGGAGAAAGACTGTATCCTTAACAATACTTTGTTCCTGACCATCTATCCTTCAACTCATGACCCTCTGCAATACTCCAGTCATGCTCAATACATTCCAGGTCACCCCACAGTCAGTGGCTCTATCTCTCTGCATCCTTTCGTCCTTCCTTCTGTCCTTCCTTCCCTCCTCAACCCACTGCTTTGTGCCTGGCATGCTATCTTGTTGATGTCACCTGGTAAAATTCTATTCTTGGCAAGTCTAAGTTCAGTCCACTGGTTCCAGGGAGACTACCCTAACCCACATGCTTGCATTGCCCCCACCCAACCCATCACATGTTCCCATTGCTCTCAATAATGACAGCATTTGCCATGCTGACTGCCTTGCCCTGCTACACTGTCAGTCTCACGGACCTACCCTTACCATTTGCAGGGCCTGAGGGAAGAAGTCAACAGAGGTCCACGTTGCCAACAAAATCTAACATAAGATATATTTTGATGTTCAGTCAGACTTGGCAGGCCAGCTTGAAAGACATAATTTTGGAAATATGCTGAGAAACATAGAAAGACAAAGACTTTAGTAAAAGTTTTGAATATTATAGAAATGACAGAATCAGGGAGATTTTAGTAGCAAGAAGTCATACTTTATATCTATTCAGGATCCACAGAAACTATTATCCAAATGTGAACTAGAGAAAGAAAATTGGCTATGTTTGTTCTGAGTTTTATAATGGCCCCCAAACATAGATAAACAAAAATAAACTATGATAGAATACAAGAATAACAGTAAAGGAGGGAGCTCCAATGGAATTGTCAAAAAGAGACCTTCAGTCCCACCAGCTAAAATGGTCTATCTGAGGTGGGATCAAAGGCAAAGGTTCTCTGTAGGACAGACTTAGAGAAGCTGGATAAAACTTAGAAATGAAACAAAGTAGGGATGTGGAAGGACCTGTTTACAGAAGGTACCTTTCCAATCATATTCTGCTAACTACAGGGCTTACTACACCCCTTCAGCCTCATCTCACGTTTTCGTAAACTGCACAGTGATATCAGAGCTTAGACATATCATCCAACACCCACTAACCTCACGAACCACAATCTAAAGGCTTCATTAAATCTAAGACAGGGCACAGAGCTCATGATGACATTCCAAGTCTCTTTGATGCAGTGTAGTTTTTCCTTTGTGGTCTAAAATCCTTGCCCCTTTGGAGACCAGAGCCTCAAGATGTTCTATAGGAGGAAATTTCTATGTTAATTCTTAGTCCAAAAGTGAATTTAATGTGCCTTCCAGAACAAAGATTACTTTAGGGTCCTGGAAAGGGCCAAACCACATCATAGAGAGTAAGAAGATATCTTTCATTCTCATGAAGGTATGCCCATCTTTAGAACCAAGTTCAAAGCAAACATCTTTTGAAGTCTTACCGAACATGACTGAACATTGAGGTTTATTACAATGTTTTTGCATGTGTTTGCATTTTGTGAGAACAGCTAGGATCAGAAGCAGAAGAGCCAAAAAGATTGCCTGCCAGGTCTGGGAATCTAAAAGCCAAAAATTTCAAGAGAAAAAAGGATTCTTATAACATGTGTAGCCTAATTTTACACACTCTCAATGTTAATTGCGATAAACATTCGAAATCTTGGATACTTCTTGACAATGAACTTCAGAGCCAAACTATTTGGCCCTGCCTCGAACTCACAGCAACATTGCAGGTTAGAAGTTAAATGTAACTTATCTTACAGCCACTGCCAGTTCGTTAAACATATCAACTTAATAAAGCCAGTTCATGAAAAGGCAGCCTCCGTATTTTTAAAGGTAACAAGTATCCTGGGAAACAGTTCTCTGTACTCTTACAAAATGTATTTTTGAAGCCCAGAGACAATACAAATCAAGCTAATCAAGGCACCTGCCACCCAGAATTTTGCCTTTGAATGTTGGGAGATTCTGTAATGACTCATTTGGCTGTGCGCCAGACTCAGGGCTGACCTCCTCGAATAATCGCGCACAATGTGCCCCAGCCAAGGAGATGAACGGAGGCAAATGTTGGTCACTTCTGTAGACAAGAAAGAGCTTTGACAGCAAGAGAGATAAAACAAGGCAAATAAAAAAAAGAAAAGAAAAAAAAGGCTCAATCATACATTTTCAAATTTTCCAAGAACCTGAAACTAACCTAATGAAATTGCAAAATATTCTATCATTTTTTTAAAAAATCACATAAATATGGAATTAAAGAAACATAGCTACATAGCAGTTCATATTTTTAAAAAAATATGTAGTTACCTAAAGAGGCAAACATAAGGTAACTACAACTTTAGTGTACACCAGCAGTGCAGTGGAAATTCCTGAAAAAGAAAAAAGCTATTCCAATAGTAGACATTATTAATGACATTATTAATGTAAGTACAATCAACTCCTCTAGGTTTTTAATAGTTGAACTATACATTGCTGATCGGTTTAAGTATTGTGCCTAGGTTTGGTATGTCAGAAGGAGAAGTGATTAAAATGGTGAGAGGTCTAGATAGAAGGTCATATCACGTAAGAGATTATTAAAGAAGTTGCTCATTTTTCATCAGAAGGACAGAGGAGAGAGTGATTGAGATATTTAACTGTAGACTTCAAAGACGGAGGAGAAATTAGAGTTCTTTCTTGTTTCACAGAGCAAAATTAAGGCATTTAGCTGAAAGTTTCATGGAGTCAGATTCCCTCAAAATGAAGAGGCATTGTCCAAGAGCAGTAATAAAATATGGATGGAAACAGGTTGTTTCAGGAGAGAGTTGTTGCCTGAAATCTTGGGGGCAAGAGCAGGCAGTGGCTATGGAAGGAGTTCCTCATTGAGGATGAAAAATTTTACTGTTAAATTTCCTACTCATAGAAAACGTGGTCTCTTCCTAAAGTTCAAAAGTTAAGCATGTAAACTGAGGCAGATTGGAATTTAGGGGATAGAATTACAGTGACTTTTGCTTCTCATAATTACAACCCTTTTGTATTTAATTCAGAACCAGGAGGTAGAAAAGTCTTCCATCGGTAGTCTTGTTTTTTGACTGCGATGTCTGAATAAAGGAAAGAAAAATGGCCTATATCTAGTAGCTGCTATCGATCAAGCACAGGCCCACTGTATTCAATCCTCACACTATTCCTGTGAAACAATTATCTCCATTTTGCAGATGAAGAAAATGCCAAAGAAGACTTGAGTCTTGAATCCTATGGTCTTGAAGTCTATGAACCCTCTAATGATGAAATCAACCACTCTAGTCAAACTGAATGCTTTCACTTTGACAGAGGTTGATTTAAGCCTCTGCATGGACTCCTAATCCAGTTGTCTGTTTATTACATTATGTTGCTATTTTCTACTTCTTGGTTTTGCTAATCCAGGGCCAGGTCAACCCATCTATATATATATATAAAAGCCTAAGCGACCGAATGAACGAATGACTGAACGACCGGTCGACTGGTCGCTATGATGCATACTGACCACTAGGGACAGATGCTCAATGCACAGGATTGGGCTCCCTCCTGTCTGGATTGGGCCTGCGGGGATCGAATTAAAACAGGCTATCCAACATACCCCGAGGGGTCCCGGATTACAAGAGGGTTCAGGCCAGGTCAAGGGACCCCACTAGTGCACAAATCTGTGCACTGGGCCTGTAGTTATTTATATTAAACCTAAATGTAAATTAGTATTGTTGACAATGAACCCATTCAAATACACAGAAAGTAACTTAAAGAAAAAAAATTACTGTTAATCATCAAAGCTTGTGTTAGGTTGTTATAATAATTTAATTAATAATATTGTGAAAACTCCATGCCCAGATACATTAGTGTATTTCTGCCAGGAAGAGGAAGTAAGGGCAAGTCTTTAGTGTCTCTTTAAGGCTTTCAGGATATAAACATGTCATTCAACACTCCTGGGAAGCCAAGCCCCCAAATCAATAGAAAAAGCACTGACTTTGGAGACAAGATTGGGTCTGAACCTTTTCTGTGTGTTACTCATTAGGCGTGTGGCCTCTGGGTCAAGCCACTTAGGCTCCTAAGTTTTTCTTTCTTCAGTTGTGGAAAGAAAAAAAAGAATAAGAATGCTTTCAATAAAAGAATAGGGATAGTATCTATAAATTACAGTGCGAGGCACTCAATAAATTGTTCCTGCTTTGATTATGTCCCAGAACTCCAACATCATAGCCTTCACTCTACCCACCCCCTTTCTCCATCTAATTCTCCAGCTGTGCCAAACTACATGTTGGCTCCCAGGGAGACTCTTCTCTCCCTCTGTGTCAGGGAACCTTCCCAGTAACTCACTAAGCCATCAACCCAGAGACCACCTTCTCCTGGAAGCTGTCTTTGATCACTCTTCACCCAGCAGACTACATTAGATGTCTCCTCCTGCCATGTGCATGCTATGTATATATCTGTCAGATAATTTCTATGCTCTCGCCAACATCTGTTCATTCAACTGCCCTTCCCCTCACACTGTAAGCTCTTTAATGGCAAGAAGTAAATCTTTCATTTCCAGATCCCCAGTATGTCCCAGAGTGTTTTACAATAGAAGATGCTCAATAGATGTTTGTTGAATGAATGAATACACAAAACCTAGAAGGTCAGTATAGCGTATTGTTTCAATGCTATACCAAATCATTTTCTAAGAACAGTTTTATGTGTCAATTCTCTCAAAATATTATTTAAGAATTCAACAGATTTAAAACAAATGTGTACTTCCAAGCATCTTAGTCCATTCAGGCTGCTATAAGAAAATAGCATAGACTCTGTGGCTTATAAAAACAAATAAACTGATGAAAAAAATAGATCCAGAGACATAGAAGCATGGAACAGACTGTTGAATCTCAGAGGGAAGGCGGGGTGAGTGGGTGGGTGGGAAGAGATTAACCAAAGAACTTATATGCATATATGCATAACCCATGGACACAGACAATAATGCAGTGAAGGCCTGGGGTGGGAGGCAAATGCAGGATGGAAGGGTTCAATGGGGAAAAAGAGAGGGAAATCTATAATACTTTCAACATAAAGATAAATTTAAAACAAACAAAAAGCAAATATTTACATCTCATAGTTCTGAGGCTGGAAGTCTGAGATCAAGGTACCAGTACAGTCAGGTGAGGGAGATCTTTTGAGTTGCAGACTTCTAGTTGTATCCTTACATGGTAGAAAGGCAAGGGCACTCTCTTGGTCTCTTGCAGAAGGGCACATGCCCCATTCATGAGGGCTCCACTCTCATGACCTAATCACCTTCCAAAGGCCTCATCTCCTAACACTATCACATTGGATATTAGGATTTCAACATATGCAGTTTGGAGGGGACAAACATTCAGACGGTAGCAACAGACAACCCAAAGGCATTCAGAAAACCATACGTAAGTGTCTCTACATTTTTCACTGAAAATCAAGTAAAGATACTACTTATTCATTTTCATGTGTATTACATATTCAATAGACCCAATAAATGTAAGGTGCTGCCGAAACCGGTTTGGCTCAGTGGATAGAGCGTCGGCTTGCAGACTGAAAGGTCCCGGGTTCGATTCCGGTCAAGGGCATGTACCTGGGTTGCGGGCACATCCCCAGTAGGGGATGCGCAGGAGGCAGCTGATCGATGTCTCTCTCTCATCGATGTTTCTAACTTTCTATCTCTCTCCCTTCCTCTCTGTAAAAAATCAATAAAAATATATTTTTAAAAAAATGTAAGGTGCTTATCCAAATTCTATAATTCTTTTACAGCCAAGGAGGCTTGTAAGAGTTTACTGCTAGGGGAATGCTCACTTCTGGCATACACATTATTGCAGTCTGTCTGACAATAAGGGTAATAGACATGTGTGTGGGAAAAATGAAAATTCAAAATTATAATTTTCCTAATTTTCACTCCTGGAAAAGGGAAGGCTAGATACTCCATGGTTGTTTTCTTCTGAATGAGAGTGAAGTATCCTCTGATAAGGTTAATAGACATTAACTTTAAGTTAGCCTGATAATTTCATAATTTTTCCTCCCTTAAGTAAAATGGATGTGTATAAAACGGGTGAAAAAAATGTGAATTTATATATACATATGCAAATATATGTTAGAGTGGTTTAGATGTATGAGTGCATATGAATGCATGAGGGTCTATATAGAATTTTTAAATAGTGCTTCCTTCAAAAGCTCTGGCACTCTTCTTAGAAGTGCCAATAGTTAATGCTAAAATAATTAGTTATAATTTTGTCATTATTGTACGGAATGACAGCCAGGTCACAGCTGTGCCAATGTTACTAAGAATAGTCACGGGAAGGTAAATATAAGCCCAACAGCCTTTATTCATGAGTTTAAAACAATTTCCAACCTTTGAGGAAAGTCATGACCATTTGGTAAGAAAGCCTACCTATTCAATAGAATCCACTATATCAACAGGTGAGCCTGTAAGAACAGTACAGGAAAGTAAACCTAAGAATAATTTGTATGCACTACATTGGCAATTTTCACAGGTGTGCTGCGAGAATTTTTAAAACATGCAATACCTGACTATATAGTCAGGAGCACTGACCTCTTTTCCCTTAGACTGTCA